TAAAGCAAACAGTAAAATAACAGTTATAGCTGATAAGCCATCAAAAGAGATAAAATAGATCATAAACAATACTTGATTAATCAAAAGTAGTAATAAAAATGGAAAATAGGCATAAAAATAAGAAAGATGGAAAACAAACAGTGAGATGGGAGATTTAATCCCCTGCACCAAGAATCACAATAAATGTCAATGGTCTAAACACTCTAATTAAAAGGCAGAGGTTGTCAGACTGGATTAAACAAAGCAAGACCCAGATATCTGCTGCCTACAAGAGACTCGTTTTCATTCTAAGGGCACAGATAGTTTGAAAGTCAAAGATTAGGAAAAAGCAAACCGTGCTGGCACCAACCAGAAGAGAGCTTGAGTGGCAATATCAATGCAGGTAAAGTAGATTTCAAAGCAAAGAATATTACCAAGAGTAAAAATAGTGATATTTCATAAAGGGCCAATTTATCAAGAGAACATAAGATCCTAAATATTTATGCACCTAATTACAAAGCTTCAAAATACATGAAAGAAAACTGATAGAACAGCAAGGAGAAATAAAAATTCACAGTCATGGTGAGATATTTCCGCACCTTCTCTCGATAACTGACAGAAGAGAAGGAGGAGCCAGCGAGGACAAACACCGGCGGCACCGGCCAGCGAGGCTGATGCCCGGGGAGCCTCCTCCCCGACAGCACCACTCACGTCCTCACCAGGACAGGCGGGGCCTGGCTGTAAACCAAGTCCAAATCATCTCAAAGCCTGCAAGTCCTGCATACTCACACGCCAGCCCCCCAGAGTGGCAGCGTTCACCAAGCCCCAGGCCTCGGGCCGTGGCCACAGCAGGCACCCTGGCATCCCGAGGGGCATGGTGCTTGGAGACACCCACTCCTGGTGCCCCTCACTGCCGTGCCGGGTGCTGGGGGCCCCATTCCAGTGCCCCCGAGGGACAAGCAAACAGGGGAGGAGGCAGTGGTCACCTGCCACAGTCAACAGAGCTCATAGAGGCAGCTCGTGTCCTGCCCACACCCTTCTGTTTCAGGTAAAGGGGCCAGAAGTGGTTCCCACACCCCTGCCTCCACCCCTAGCGTCTGCTTTCCACTCCCAAATCCGCAAGGGCCATCCTCACCTGAGTCGCCTAGGTCTAACACACCCAGGCTCTCGCGGTGACGTCTCGTGGGATCGTCCGTGCGTGGAACAGCGAAGCTCTGTGTTCAGAACTGGAACCAGGGTTCTTCGTGGTGCACTCAGTGGGTAATAATCCTACCGACCCACAGCCTTCCTGAGGTCCCACCTTGCTCCTGCCAGGGAAAGGCATTCTGTGGAGCCCGTCTGTGAATACAAGTGCAGGTGATTTATTCGGAAAGGTCCCCAGCACTGTTCATTTGTTCATTCAGCAAATAATTGCTCAGCACCTGCTGTGTGCTGGGCAGGGACCCAAACGCTTAGGTCCTCGGGCTACAGGAGCTTGCTTGGTGACGGGGCGTGGCCAGGCAATGAACTGGGGAGGGGGCGGGAGTGGGGACGCTGGGGAGCCCCAGAGAGATTTGGAGAGAGCCAAGGGCGCCGCACATGCACAGCCCTGAGGACCACACGCCTGGCACATGGAGGGCGCATGGTGAGGCCACGCCACTGCGGCAGCTGGTGGGGGTGCGGGCAGGGTGAAGGGGAAGTTCACACAGGGTCCATCGGACATTGACTCGGGGGGGGACAGGAGGTCCCTGTGTCTGCCGTCCATGCAGCCCCTCTGTGCTCCAGTGGCGCCCTGGTCTGTCTGGCCGGAGGGAGGCAGCTGCCTGGACCGCAGGCACTGGGGACGGCGCAGTTGGGGCTGCGGACTGAGCTGCCTTTCAAGGAGAGCCCCTGCAGGCCGGTCGCATGCCCAGAGAACTGCCAGGTTCCCCTGCTAGGAGGAAAGGGGAAAGGGCACAGGAGGTGACGGCTGCCACTGTCCCCAGGGAAGAGGGACCAGGAGCCACACCAGGAGGCCCAACCAGAGGAAGCAGCCTCCCAGCCCCGACAGTGTGTGCTGTGGCGTGTCCATCCTTCCTGGGCCTCCCTGTCCCCTGTCCCTGCACCTCACACACGCACCTGTCCCTTCCTCAGCGCCTCCTGCCGGTGCGGGTCCCGCACTGCCTCCCAGGCCACATGGCAACCCGGGAATGACACGGCTCCCCAGCCGGACTGGGAACCGCATTCCTCACCCTCCTGTTCTGCCCTTCGCCCTGCAGCTGCGGAAAGGTATTTGCCTTTCGCACTTTGAGACTTTCAGAGACAAACTGCGCTTTCTACAACACACCTGGAACTTGACACCGGCGACCCAGCGTGGAATGCTTTCTGCCCCGGCCCTCAGACCTTCCCAATGTGCTCATTCTGGGTTTTGTGGGGTCTCCCAGCAGCTGTCCCAGCAACAAAGACAGGCCACTGGTGAGCGGGCCGGGGCCAAGGGGGTCCTGCGGCCTGCGCCAGACCCTGAGTGCGGCCCCTCGACTGAACACAACGTTCTCGGAACAAATCCTGGATTCGCTCAGAAGGCCGCACTCAAGGGTCCTGAAGCCCATGTGGCCCGAGGCCACAGGTTCCCGGGAGCCCACGCTGCCCAGGGAGGACGTCAGTGCTTTGCTGTGACCAGACAGCTGGTGTGTGGCGATTCCTGCCCACCTGGGCCGTGGTGAGCTGCTGTCACACTCCGTGGGAGTGAAGGGAAGTCGGAGAGTTTCGGGTCCCTGCTTAGAGTGAGGCCACGGGACTCCCTTTGGGGCCCTGGTGGTGGAGGGACAGGACCCTTCCACTACCGGTGCTGAACCCACCTATCTTCTGCTAAGGACGCCCTGCACACCTGTCCACCAGGTCATGGTGTGCCACTGTGGTGCCTATGCTGCACGCACCTGCTGGCTGGGTGCCCAGAGCACTCAGGGTTCGGCCACTGCGTGGTCTGCAGACAGGACGGCCCCTCGGGAGGCCGGGGCCGGCGCGCTGGGATGTGGGTCCTTCCTCTTTCCTCCTCCACGGCTGCCCCGGGAAACCTGCCAAACGCCAGATGCCTGCTGTGGACTCGACTCCCCGCCCCCGTCTAGGCTGAGGGCTCCCAGTCAGGCGGGATGGTACCCAACAAAATCTGCAGTTTTCACGAGTACGCTGGGAAGTGTGAACATTTGCCACACCTGTAGAATCCAGAATTTTTTTTTTTTTTTTGAGACAAGGTCTCACTCTGTCACCCATGCTAGAGTGCCATGGCGTCTTCACAGCTCACTGCAGCCTCAGACTCCTGGGCTCAAGAGATCCGCCTGCCTCAGCCTCCCGAAATGCTGGGATCATAGGCATGAGCCACCGTCCTCCTCCCAGGGAGACCCAAGGCTGGGGCGAGGGTGCGTGTGGGCCTGGCCGGGTGGCTCCCCAAAGGCTCCATGATTCCGACACACCGGAGATGGGCAGGCGCCCACACCCAGGGCTCCCAGGGGTGCAGGACACTCACTCCCCCCTCCTGCCCCCCAGGAATAACCCGAAACGAAAAGTGTCTTGTCCTGCAGTCCCACACGGGGTGATGGGTGAGAGTGGCCCACTTTGGATGACACTGCTGAAAGTCGATGTCTGTTACCGTAATTTAAATAGCGAGCACGCCAGTGCTTCATTTCTGACGTTTTCAGGAGTGCAAAGTCTCCCCGCCCGCCTAGACTCCCACGGCCACGGGACCCCCAGACCTGCCCCCCCCGCTAGGGAAGGAGGCCATGGGAGGGACGGAGGGGCTCTCGGCGGAGGGTGCCCGGCTGCACCCTGCTTAGACTGGGCCACACTGCAGAGCCACACACGGCCCGTCCCCAGGCCACACGGCCCACAGGGTGCAGCAGAGGCTGCTGCCCTGCCCAGCTCTGGACAAGATAGCCAGAAAGTGCTTTCAAAAGCCGCAAGGATGCAAATTAACAACGACAGGTGTGGCTTCCCCACAGCCCTGCTCTTTGAAAGTCCTGAGAACTGAATTTATCGACAGCTGAAAGTGTCCCGAAGGCCGTGCCGCCCAGAGTGAGGCAGGAGGAGGACACAGACGCAGGTGGGTCCCTGCAGCCACCAGCGGCTCAGCCCTCCAAGCTCCCAGCTCTCTGGGCTGGGCGCCTCAGGTGTCTGTGCGGAAGGTCAGGTCCTGGGGGGGGGCACTCCCCTCCCGCCAGAGGGAGCTGCCCCAGGGGACGGCAGAGAGAGGGGGGAGGCCGGAGGGGTCTGAGGAAGAACCTGGAGTGGAAGGCAGAGGTCCCCAGGCCGCAGGTGAGGGTCCCACGGCAGGCAGGGAGGACGTGGCGGGACAGCAAATCGCGCTGTCCTGGGACTTCCAGGAGAACCAGACTGGGGTCGGGAGAGGGCGGGGGCTCGCGGTGGTCACGTCGCTGGGGCAGCTCCCTGAGAGCGGGTTGGGCTCCAGAAGAGAGGGATGAGCAGAGGACGGGGAGCCTCCCGCCCGGGATGACCGCCCGGGATGACCGATGACCATGACCGCGGGCGGGTCGCAAGGCGCTGGAGATTGCGCGCCAGCGGCTCTGCGGGCGAGCTGGGGCCTGGTTCTGGAAGCCCCGGACGGACATCATGGGGAGCGGGCCGGTGGGCACGGGAGACCTGGGGCCGCTGTGTCCTTGGGTGGCCCTTTGAGCCGAGCTGGGGGCGGGATCTGGGCCGATGCCCTGAAGGCACATCGATGACGAGGGTCCGGGCGTCATGGCCGAGGGCACTGTCCGGAGGGAACTGGCCAGCGGCTCCTCTCGCCCCAGCTCCCAACCAGCCGAGACGCACGCGGGGACCGGGTAGGGGCGCGGGAGTGGGGACATGGGGTGGGGGCGGGGACACAGGGGGGAGGGCGGGACACTGATGGCGGGGTAGGGCGGCGGGGCCGGGGGCGCTGCGGCCACGGCCGCGGGGGGCGCTGCGGGCGCGGTTAAGCCGGCGCGGGCGCGCCGCGCTCAGAGGAGCGGGCCACCGCCGCCCGCCCGGCTGAGCGCACCCGCCCGCCCCGGCCGACCCGGCCGGACCGTCCCCGCCCGGCGCGGAGGCTGCGGCGCGTCCATGCGGCCCCGGCTCCGGACCGCAGACCCGCAGCGAGCGCGGGGCGGCGCGGGATGGGGAAGCTGCAGTCCAAGCTCGGTGAGGTGCGGGCGGCCGGGCGGCGGGCGGGGCGCGGGCGCCGGCCACTCACTGTCCCTCCCTGTCCCCGCGTCCCGGGCCGCGCCGCCGCCGAAGCCTGCAAGCGGAGGGGGAGCCCGGAAGGTGAGGGCTCCGCCGCGCAGCCCTCGGGCGGGTCGGGGGTTGGGCCGCGGGTGCGCGGGAACTCGCGGGACCCCCCCTCCCGCTCCCCCGGGCCCCGGGGCGCGGGCGGCCGGACGCGGCGAGACGGGTCGCCCGCGGGGCTCACGGCGTGTCCTTCCTCCCGGGCGGTCCCGGCGCGTCGCTCGTCGGACGCAGGGGACAGCTCTGCGGGGTCCGCGTTCGCCGGCGGCCGCCAGGGCGCGGAGGAGGCGGAGCGGCGCGCTGCAGGCGGCCTGGAGCACCGCGCGCGGGACAAGCAGGTAGGCGGCCCGCGGGCCGGAGATGCGGGCCCAGTGGCCGGGCGGGAGATGTTCCGGGGACCAGGACAGCCTGTCCCTACACGGCCTCCAGGATGTCCCAGGCTGCGGTGTCCCGTGCTGAGGGGGGCGGGGTATAGCGGTTCTGAGGTCCTAGTCTGGGGGAGGTGTCTATGTTTGAGGCTACAGGAGCTTGGAAAGGGGCAGAGAGGAGGGTCTGGGCCTAGGTGCCCCAGGCAGGGCTCCTGTGGGGCCGGACCTCTGTATTCCAGGCTGGAGAAGCTGGGCAGGGGCTGGGGGCTGGGGGGTTGGAGGCTTGGGGGCTCAGTCACTGGCACAGCAGAGAGGGCAGGAAGTGGAGGCCAGCAATGCCTCCGGCTTCCAGAGGGCTGACCACAGGCCTGCAGGGGGGCTGGGAGACAGAGGGACGGCCGGACATTCATGGCCACCCAGACTGCAGGTGCTGCCAGGGGTGGCAGGGGTCGGGTCAGGACCCAGGTGTCCCTGAGGGTGAGCACCAGGAAGGTGCTCTGGCCAGGGGCAGAGAGCTCTGCAGGCACAGGGCCTGGAGGGCTCTTGGACGGATTAGAGCAGCACACGTTTGTGGGGCCTGAGAAAGTTGACATTAGAGCGTCGTCTGAGTTCCTGTGCTCTGGATGGGTGTCCACAGCTGCACCAGGTGGCCTGGACCCCCCTTGCCCATTGCCTTCCCCCCGCACGGTCTCCAGAGTCCCCCACAAACAGCCCTTGGGGCACAGAGCCATCTGCTTTTTGGAAGGAGTCTTCTGCCAACTGATAAACAAAAACTTCTGGTGTGTCTGTAAACACTGTGCATCCCCTTCCCGAGAAGGGGCCCGGGTACGCCCAGAAACGCACAGGCACGGAGCTGGCATGCACGCTGACGCCGGGCCTGTGCACAGGAAGTGCGTCCCGAGTGCGCCGCCACCGGCTGCGGCCCAGGGCGAGGCGGTTCCGTCTGCCCAGGGCGGTGTTGGTGCCGGGCGAGGTGCCTCTCAGCAGCGTGGCTCTCACAGGTGTGATTGAAAAGCCAAGGCTGTGAAAAGCCGGCGGCAGGCGTCCACCTTGGTGGTGGTCAGAGGCTCAGGCTGGCCCCTGTCCCTTGGCCGGCGGCCAGAGTCCTTCTCCCTGGGAGGCGCGGTGCAATGCGTGTTTGGCTCCGTCCGTCCTGGGAGGCCCCGAGAGTGAGCGCTCGTGTGTCCAGAATATGCCTGCTGTGTGCCTGGCCCACGAGTACGAGCCGCTGTGTCCCTGCCGTGGGGTGCACACAGGGCCCAGGGCTCACTAGGACGCGGGGCGCTGAGGACAGGACCTCAGAGAGCTTGGGGGTCCCCAAGGCCGGGCGGCATCAGTGCCCCTCGGCCCCTCCTGAGCTTCTGAAACTGCCCCGCTGGACCCCACTTGGCCTAAGGCCGGGCCACTCGGTCCAGACTGAGCCTGTCCCCCAGGGGGCGCTGGAGAACAGGCTGGCAGGTGGCCCCTGGCACCAGCGGGCTACTCTGTCAGCCGGCTCTGAGGTTCTGCGTCCCAGACTCTCATCCTTCCTGGGAGTGCCTGCCCGGCTAGAGGACAGCAGGATTGTGCCGCCCCCCCCCAGACCCGCCCCTGTGGGAAGGGTGCTGCCCAGTGCACCTCCTCTCATTCTCGTGGGGTCTCTCGGGCCGCCTCCCTGCGGGGCTCCCGGGACTGGCCCAGAGGAAGCTGCAGCTGTGCAGTGGAGGGAGCCGGGCCCTGGGGTGAGAATCCCGCTGCCTTGTTCTCCTGGTGGGAGCAGGTTTCAGTCCGAAGGGAACGCTGTGTTTCCAGAGGGGTTCCGGGAGGGAGGACGGCAGAGCAAAGCTTGATTGATGAATTCCCTGCAAAGCAGGGAAACCTCCCCAGGAGCAACCCCACACTTGGACAGATGAAAGGTCTGTCGCTTGGGCCCCGGGAAGGCCGGTCGCACCTGTGCAGCTCGAGAGCCGTGTGCAGGCGTGGCCAGGGCCGGGAAAAGGCGCCTCCCCCACGTAGACCACACCCCTCAGCGTGCCTGGGGTCAGGCCGTTAACTGTGTCCTGGTCCGTGTTCACTCATCGGTTCGTGTGTGTTTACCGTGAGCACTGCTGAGTTTGGCTTTAGGGTGCTGAGAACAGCAGGTGTTGACGTGGACCGGATTCAGGTCTGTGGCCTCCTGGAACATTCCAGAGACTTGCAGCTGTGTGTCCTGTCTCCCCATGGCCACTGCCTCAGAGCAGCCTCTCCTTACCCTGCTGCCCAAAGAGCCTGCCAGGCCCTGCCCCTGCCCTCGGGTCCCTGCTCATCCCACACCGGGGCCAGTGCTGCCGGGCAGGCCCCACACCTGTAGATGCGGCCAGTGTCCAGGCAGGAGCCCTGCCCACCTGCCGGGTGGATCAGCCTTACACTGGTACTGCTACGGGCACACAGGTATTGCTGCTCTGTCGGGCACGGTGGCTCACACCTATAATCCCAGTCCTTTGGAAGGCCAAGGTGGGAAGATTGCTTCAGCCCAGGTGTTTGAGACCAGCCTGGGCAATGTAGTGAGACCCTATCTCTACAAAAAAAATTGAAAAATTAGCTAGACTTGGTGGCACACACATGTGTTCCCAGCTGTTCCAGAGGCTGAGGCAGGAGGATCACTTGAGCCCAGAAAGGCTTCCTGTCACCTGGTGTACCAGGTAGAGTCCTCAGAAGGGAATCATCTTGGCAGTGGAGCTAAGTGCCTAGACAAGGGGCTGCTCCAGTCCTGTCTGACAAAGCTTAAAAGCAAGCCTCGGTCCAAAGAACTGCACACCATATCCAAACCCCACACTCTGTGCAGGAGTATGACAAAACCCAGCAAAGCAACACAGCAGCACAATGTCTAGCATCTAGCCAGAAATTTTCAGGCATGCAAAGAACTGAGAGATTATGATTCACTACCAGAAGAAAAGCAATCAGTAGAAATAGACCAAGAGTCTGCCACACCTGTAATCTCAGCACTTTGGGAGACCAAGGCAGGAGAATCACTTGTGGCCAAGAGTTTAAGACCAGCCTGGGCAACATATCAAGACTCTGTCTTAAAAAAAGAAAAAAAAAATCGAAATATTAGCTGGACGTGGTGGCTTGTGGCTATAGTCCCAGCTACTCGGGAGGCTGAGCCAGGAGGATCACTTGAGCCCGGGAGTTTGAGGCTGCAGTGAGCTGTGACGTTGGAAAACCCAGGTGGAACTTAGATGGAAAGTGTGGTGTTCGGAACGCACAACGGTGATGGATGGATGGATGGCAGATCAGACGCAGCGGAAGAAGAGACCAGCGACTGTGTAGACAGTGGGAGAAACGGGCCCGGCAGAGCCCAGAGAGAAAAAGCACAGGGAAGTGACGTGGCCGAGCATCCTTCACCCGCGAGACAGCACCAGGCAGCCACCCTGCGTGGGCCTGAGTCCCCCAGGGAGAGTGGAAGGAGGGGAAGGAACAAGTATTGGAGGAAATATTGGCCACAGTTTTCCAAATTTGACGAAAACGCTAAACCACAGGCCAGAGAGGCTCAAAGCTTTCCAAGCGAAGAAAGGCCACGATCAGGACACGTCTTAGTCGTTTGGAAACAGTCGTAAGGAGGACGGGCTTCAAAGCAGCCTGAGAAAAAGGCGTTTGACGCCGCCTGGGGCGGAAGGGCAGGGGAGGAGCGGGTGGCTGTGCCCGGGGGCAGGGGAGAGGGGGGCCTTGCCCGCCAGCCCCGACCTTTCCCCTTTGAAGGGGGCAGGCCCAGGCACAGCAGGGTTGAGTCTGGGAGCCGCGTCCCAGCCCGGCAGACCCCAGAGCTCACGTTCCCACCACCTGGCGCCGTTCCTGAGTGTGATCCGGTGTGGAAAAGCATCACAGTGCGAGGGAAGGAGCGTCCACTAGGGCCAGAGCTGCCGTTACAGGAGGCCGCCCAGATAGCTCTGCAGGGGCCCGGCCAGTGCAAAGGCCCTGTGGCAGGCAGGCAGGCAGGCAGGCAGGCAGGCAGGAGCAAGCAGAGGCCTGGAGAACAGGGGGGGGAGGACTAACCGCATCACCACCCATGTTGCCCCCTCCCAGGGGAGCGTGCTCATGGCCGCCAGGCGTGCGCCCACCTCTCCGCAGCCCTGCGTGAGTAGTGGCAGGAGGCCTCGCCCCTCTGATCCCACGGAGCCTCCTGCCCCCAACAACAGAGCCGGTGGTGGGTTATCAAGTCCTGGCCTGCGGGCTGCGTCTCCGTGTCGTGCTGCGGAGGGTGCGTGGAAAAGAAAGCGGCGTGAGCTGCTGTTTTCGGGGCAGCTGAGCCCTGGGGTCTGGGCTGCGGTAAAGCACGAGCCCTCGACACCTCGGTCCTCGGCTCTCGGGTGAGGACGCACCTCACACGTGGCGCCTTCCGCGTGAGGAGCAAACTGTAAAACGCAGCACAGCTCTTTTCCAGCTTCGGAGTTAGTCTTCCTTTGAAATAGGAAACATGAGGCTTTACTGTGAATGAAAGAAAACGAAACTGCCCGGAGGTTTTGCCTGCAGGAATTAAGACAGAGGAACTGGGCCGGGCGAGGTGGCTCTCACCTGTAATCCTAGCACTCTGGGAGGCCGAGGCGGGCGGATCGCTTGAGGTCAGGAGTTCGAAACCAGCCTGAGCAAGAGTGAGACCCCCGTCTCTACTAAAAATAGAAAGAAATTAATTGGCCCTCTAAAAATATATAGAAAAAATTAGCCGGGCATGGTGGCGCATGCCTGTAGTCCCAGCTAACTGGGGAGGCTGAGGCAGGGGGGGTTGCTTGAGCCCAGGAGTCTGACGTTGCTGTGAGTGAGGCTGACGCCACGGCACTCTAGCCCAGGCGACAAAAGAAAAATATAAAAAAGGACAGAGGAACCGGGTTCTGTGTTCGTGTCCCAGCCCCCGCTGGCTGACTCCTTCAGGTGGGAGGGACCGAGGGGCTGGGAGAGCTGCGCCGGGCTCACTCTGCCTCGGTGGCCTGTGTGTGAAGCTCCACGGGCCTGGGTTTCTTTCTCCGTGAAACGACAGATCGTAAGCCCGAAAGACAAAAGCTTGGCAGGCAGGACGGGGAGAAGGAGGCCGGGCTTGCAGATGAGTTGCAGCAGGATTGTCTAAACTAAAAACAAAGTCTCAGGATGCTGAAAACTGTACGTGTGTGTGTGTGGTGTATACGTACATGTAAGCACACATGCACACACGTGCATATATGTATACAGGCTATATATACAGACACGCCTACATATGTGTTTAGTACCTGAGCTGAAAACATTTCATTTCAAGGCCTCCCCTCTCTAGCCCACTCCACCCCCTGTGATCCCCAGTCACCCCGGGTGACCCCGGGCAGCCTGCGTGTCCTCAGACACCCCTGATTGGAGGCTGAGACCCTGGGAAGGGCGGGGACCCGGTTCTGGAGCCTGGGCGTGGGGTTAGCCGCACCCACGGCTTCTCCTCCCCGTTGGCGCCTGGTGACGTGGGGGCCTGTCACCCCGTCCCTGTCTCCAGGCGCAGGGAGGGGACCCGTGGCCGCCCAGCCTTGCAGCGGGTTCTCACGGCCCCTCCCGACCCGCGATGTCTCCCCCCGTGGGCGGTGGGTGTCGCCAGCGGTCCCTGAGCAGCGCAGGCCCTGCGGGGACCCTCCCGACCCCGCTCGGGCCGGCGTGTGCGCTGGTGAGCCCGGAGACGCCAGCAGGTAAAGCCTCTGGGCCCAGGAGCACGCTCCCCGCCGTGCTCGCGGAACGGTTGTGCCGGGAAAGGCCGCAGTGGGTGACACGAGGGTGACGTGCAAGCGTTGTCACCTCCCGCCTCTCACAGGAAGCTAAGTCACAGCGAGGGCCGCCCCGGGAGAACGTGTATTCGGGAGACCTTGTGGTCCTGAAGTCACTGCTTTTCTAGATAGGATGTCAGCCGTCGTCAGGACAAAATCTCCCGTCCTGCCCAGAAGCCCCAAGGGCGGGTCCCAGGAGCCTCGCCCAGCCGGTGAAGCTGGCTGTCACTTCGGGGGAACCAAAGACGTCGTCACTGGTGTGCGAGGGCCGCTCGCACTCCCCCCCCAGTGCCTCGGTTTCCCCTCCTGATCTTTGGCTTGAGAAGCAGAAGTTGGGAGTCACACGTGCGTGCTGCACCGGGTGGAACCGCCTGCGGCGCTGGCGCAACCTGGCGGCCGGGGCTGCACATGTGCCGGGATTATTGCGCCGGTAAAACTGCAGCGTCACATCTGAAACCGTTTAGCTGCTGAAGCCGAGACCCGACTTCAAAGCCGGCCGCGGCGTTTCCAGACAGACGCGCGGGCGATCACCGCGAAGTCGAATTCCGCCCCGTGGCGGCCGCGCAGAGTAGACGCTCCGTTCCTGGACACCGGGTTCGCCCCACCCCTGCGACCTGCACCCTGGGGACACCTGGGCCGGGCGCTGGCAGGGGAGTTCCCAGCAGGGAGGAGCAAGGATAGCGGCTTCTCTGCATTTAAGGGGCTTGGACTCAATGGCGGCCCCAGGACCCGCCCCTCCTGCCCGGCCCCGCCCCCGCCTTCCCATTTCCTGCCAGCCCCTCCCCCACACCTGGCACGGAGCCCCCGGCCCGTGCACCTGGCCTTCCTGTCCCCTGAGCCTGCACTCTGGGCCTGGCTGGCCTCTCACCAGAAGGCACCAGGGACATTGGCCACCTGAGTCCCCACTCCCGGGGGAGCCTGTCCCTGGGTGCCACCCCCGTCAGAACGGTGACGGCATCACGGGTCTCTCCAAGGGTCCCCAAGACCCGCAGGTGCTAGCCAGACACCCCTGGGAGCCACCTGGGGCAGACCTGTGCCTGCCGCCCACGGCAGGACTCTGGCGTCGGGTGCTGTCCCCTCCTGGGCTCAGGCAGGTGCTGTCGGGGGCAGGGCTGGGCCTGGTCCTGGTCCACCTGTTCCGCAGGGCACAGCGGGAAGGTCGCCCGCCAGGGGCAGGAGGGGTGGGGTTGCTGCTATCGGACCTCCCGGGTCCTCAGCACCGAGACTGGTTTTTCTGGGGAGACGGACGCGGAACAGCAGCTGGTTCATGTCGCTCCCTGGATGCCGCAGCGTACAGAGGAGCTGCCTCGCTCAGTGAACCAGTTCCCCCAAGACGGGGGACTCCGGCCCACAGCCACTGTCCCGAGGGAACGTCTGGACTTTTGGCTCCACAGGAAGCCGGGCACCAAGATCTTACGTGAAATCTCCCGACACTCGGTCCCGTTGGCAGCCATGGACACATCTGGGGGCGACTGGGGGTGGGTAGAGAACTCGGTTCTGGGCCCGTGGCTCCACCACCAGTGTCCCTGCTGTCGTGTCTGGGTGTGGACTGTGGCCTCTGGGGTGGCTGCCCAGAGCGGCCCTGCGGGGTGAGGGGAGACGGGCCCTGGTCCCCGGCGGGGCTCGTGGCTGGGGTTGGACCCGTCTGCCCCATCTGCGGTGGCACAAGTGCAGGGGGCAGGGACGGACAGACTTGGGGTGCGGCTCCACGTGCACCTGATCGCTTCACGGGTCCTGTTCCAACCGGGATGTGGGGCAGGGCGTTTTGGGGTCTCGATCAGCACACCCTGCAGTGACAGGGGGACTTTGAGGACAGCAGGGGGGTGCGGGGCAGGTGTGGGAGGCCAGGAGAGCTGCCCTGCTTGGGTGCCGGGAGGAACCCCAAGATCCTGAGCACCTCTGAGCACAGGTGGCTTCTGAGGACTCGGAGGGTGTGGGGGGTGCGGGGTGGCGCCTGGGGCAGGAGTGGGGGCTGGGAAGCCCCAAGCTTGGCCAGGAACGCCCACGAGGAAGGGGTATGGCCACCCTGAGTGGGTCAGGCTGCAGGGTTTTACATGGGGGTTGGGCTCCTCGGTGGGGGCAGGGCAGAGCTGGGGGGCCCTCGGGGACATCAGGGTGGGGTTGGAGGAGAGCCCTGCTCTGTGGGGTTTGCCTGCTGAGCAAGTCACCCAGTGGGGAGGGGTCGCACATCTGGCCACAGCCCCAGGCAGACTTTACACGCTGCAATTAGAGCTCTTGGCCTGCTGTTTGACTGGAGCGGGGAGATTAAAGGGTGTTTGAGTGTAAGGGACGGAACTGACTAAACCACCAGTCTTGGAGACCAGAGTGACTTTCCCCGAGACACTCATTTTCCCTTGTTTGACCCTCTCCTTGTCCCAGCAGTAGTAGCTCCTGGAGCAGGGGTCCTCAAACTACGGCACGAGGGCCACACGGCCCGCCTAGGACATTCGCCCGCCAGGTGTTTTTGCCGCAGCTGCCTGTCCTGCTTAGCAGCTGACTCGCCTCGGGCCCGCAGTGCCCACTCTCCAGCGGTCTGAGGGACAGTGAACTGGCTCTTGTTTAAAAAGTTTGAGGACCCCTGTCCTAGAGAAACACCATATTTTCTGAAGCTGTGATGTTGTGGGTGTATGTGAGTGTATGTGGGTATATGTGGGTATATGTAGGTGTATGTGAGTGTATGTGGGTGTATGTAGGTGTGTGGGTGTGAGTGTATGTGGGTGTATGTGAGTATATGTAAGTGTATGTGGGTGTATGTGAGTGTATGTGGGTGTATGTAGGTGTGTGGGTGTGAGTGTATGTGGGTGTATGTGAGTATATGTAACTGTATGTGGGTGTATGTGAGTGTATGTGGGTGTATGTAGGTGTGTGGGTGTATGTAGGTGTGTGGGTGTATGTGAGTGTGTGGGGGTGTATGTGAGTGTATGTGGGTGTGTGTGGGCATATGTGAGTGTGGGTGTGAGTGTATGTGGGTGTATGTAGGTGTGTGGGTGTATGTGTGTGTGGGTGTATGTGGGTGTATGTGGGCATATGTGAGTGCATGTGGGTGTGTGTAGGCCTATGTGGGTGCATGTTTGCAGCGCAGTTTCCCCCACGTTAGGGGGTTCAGCGCTGGTCGTCGGAGCCTCAGGTGACCGTAGTCAGCTGGTGGCCGCAGCCTCCAACCCCCAGTGCCCGGCGCGTCCCCCTGGCCAAGGGCCCTCCCCTAGGGGAAGGGGGGCCGCACCCCGGGGGCTCTGGCTACGGCCTGGACCCCACGGGAGCCGGGCTGCAGCTTCACAGGCTGCTTTGCCTTTACAGAGAAAAACTTAACCCAATTTCAAGTTCCTGGAGACTGTTAGGTTTCAGCCCCACGTCCCCCTGGGCCAGCGCTCCTTCCGCTCAGGAGGATGTGTCGCCTGAACGGGCCGCGCAGGGCCCGGAGCAAACTCTCAGTGCCAAGCCTGGTCTGTGGCCGCCCACGGCTGGGGCAGGAGGGACGTGGTCTCCCCAGGCTCAGACCTTTCGCTTCCTACTAAAACCAACTGGAGCTCTGCTGCCCCGGGCCGGGTCTGCTCAAGGGGCTCCTGGATGGTCTGTCGGACTCAGCAGACGACCCAGCGTGGGGGGGACTTTCGGCCTGTTGTGGCCAGGGTCCCAGTCCCCTCCCTCTGCTGTGGCCTGAGGTGGCAGCTGGCCTTCGTGGGACCCCCCGTTCCCGAGAGGGCCCTGAACAAGTGCTGTGGCCCAGGGACCTGTGTCCTGCGGTGTCCCCAACCCTCTGCCGCCTGGGCCCTCTGGGCCAGAGCCTCTGGGGCGTCGGGGTGCGCTGGGGGGTGACCCTATGGCCCCCAGGAGACGATGGCAGATGTGGGGCCTCACCCGACCCCGCCAGGAGGGAACGACAAGGCCACAGACCATGCGGGCGGCCCCTGGCTGCAGCTTCGGGCCAGACGGGGGGCGGGCAGGCAGGGGCGAGGAGGGGCTAGGGGGGCGCACTCACAGCCTGTCTCCTCTGCAGGAGCTGCTCAGCGGGGACCCCAGGGAGGGGCCTCTCCGGCAGGACCCGTGTTCCCTAGAGGGTAAGTGCAACCCTGCGGTGCCTCCTCCCCGCGCCTCCAGGACGGGGCCGCGCCAAGGCCCACCGAGGAAGCACGGGCCAGCAGTGCGTAGCCCTGCCCGTCAGACCTAAAAAAACACCATGGCGTTTCGTCCCCTGGGGGTCCCCACGGGCAGGAGCTCGGATGTGCTGAGCGGGGAGCAGAGGCCCCATCTCCGCAGGCGAGCCCCCCACGTGTGTTACGTTTGTGCACCGGGAGCCTGTGCACGGTGACCTGCGACCCTCGGTCGGGTGTGGGTCTGAGGGCTGCTGACAGCGGCCCGGCCTCAGCACTGCCACGCGTTGTGCTGTGGCGGCGCCGGCCCTTGCCCTGGGGTGTGCGGGGCTTCGCCAGGCTCCTCGCGGGGCGTCCCGGCCCAGGCGCAGACAAGCACCTGCCCGCAGTGCCAAGTTGGGGTCACGGCTTGGGAGGGCTGCAGGTGCTGCCTGCCCATCACGGCCAGAGACGCTGCTCTCGGGAGGCCCCTCCGCCGACGCGTCCAGTGCGCATGCGGACTGTGGAGGAGGGCTGTGTGTGGAGGGGGAAGGGGGTCAGGGGGCGCCGTGACCACCCTCTGGGGTGCCGGGGGTTCCCTGCACGCTGCGCTCTGTGGCAGGAGGCGCTGTGGGCTTGGGGGCCAGAGGGGGCCAGCCCAGGTGGGCCTCCCTGCCCTGCACGGGTCCCCGACACCCCTTCCTTCCCCGAGGCCGGGCTCTCGGCTCGGGTTGTCGGGGAGGGATCGCGGGTGCGCGCAGGGAGGGCGGCGAAGCCCCCGAGGCGCCCCATCCTCCGCGTGCCCTCTGCCCTGCGCCCCCTCTCGCCCCCGCAGTGGCGCTGCCCCCCGAGAAGGCCGAGGGCCCCGGACAGCTCTTCGGCGCGGAGGACGGAGAGCGGGCGGCCGGCTGCGAGGGCCCGCGGGCACCGGGTGGGACGCGCCTGCACATCGACGTAGGTCTCCGCCCCGCCCTCCGCGAGCTCCCCTGGGCGGGCGCGGGCGCAGGGTGGCTCCACCAGTTGGGGCGTTAAAGCGAGACCCGGATGTACTGCCGTCTGCCGCTCGGGGACGCAGGGTGTCGCTGTGAATATGGCCGGAAGTGGCCGGTGTGGCGTTAAATCGTCCGAGAAACCTTCCAGGCCTCGGCGCGTGCCACGCGGCAGGACGACACCAAAGCTGACCCTCCAGCATCCCCGCCCCGCTGGGGCAGAGCCCTGGGAGGTCCGGGTCTCACATCGCGATTTCTGGAGCCGGCGGCCCTGGGCAGTCGGCGCGGCCTTGTCTCCTTCTGGGTGACGCTGAGCACCGGCATGTGCCGGCCAAGTGTCACGCTGGGGAAACTGAGTCACAGGCTTGCAGGCAGGTCCCCCTACCCCGGAGGGAGGAGCGGGGTGAGAACAGGTCTACAGAGCCCAGGGCTCCGGCCTCAGCCATGCGCTGCCCTCTCCCAGGGGCAAACTGGAAACTGAGGCCGTCCCCAGCCATGTCTGCAGGAGACCCCTGGGAAAGGCCCCCCAAGACGCTGCCGTCTGTGGGGTCAGGGGTCACCTGCGTGATGTATGCGGAGGCTGAGGGCCTTGTTGGGGGAGGGGACCCCAGCCCGAGCGCCCCACTGACCCCCGAGGCCCCGCCCTGTGTGCGCCTGCAGGCCCTGCAGTGCGACGTCTGGGTGCAGGAGGGCGACCGCCAGGAGTGGACGTTCACGCTCTACGACTTTGACCACAGCGGGAAGGTCACCAGAGAGGTAGCGTGCAGGCGCGGCGCATGCGCCATCTGTCGGGGGAGGGGCTTCTTAGGGCCCGGCCCCCAGGTCTGCAGTCTGGCGGGCTGGGTGCACAGACAGACGGGGACGCAGGGGGTCAGGCGGGGCAGGACCCCGGCCAGGTCCTCAGCCGCTGGAGGCTGCAGGGGCGCCACCAAGGGCAGGGCCACCCTCGGGCCACCGGAGGCGCAGACAAGGCTGCTGTTGGGGGTGTGGCCAACCCGCTCAGACGCATGCGTGTGTCCGTCCCTGAGGTCCCTGCGGGATGCGGAGTGGACGGGGCAGGGTGGCCGGTGGGTGGGTGTCCTGGAGGGAGGGTGGGCGCGGTCCCCACTGAGGCCCTCCGTGACGCTGGCGCCCACGCAGGATGTGTCCAGCCTGGTGCACACCATCTACGAGGTGGTCGACGCCTCCTTCAACCATTCCTCGGGCAGCAGCAAGACCCTTCGCGTGAAGTTGAGCGTCGGCCCCGAGCCCTCCGGCAAGAAGAAGGAGGGTCCCCCCGCCGGCCAGGGTGAGTGGAGTCCGGCCTGGTCGAGGAGCGGACGAGTGGGCAGAGGGGGCGGGCAAGGGCTTCACACGAGGACCCCCTTGCAGACCGGGAGCCCCCTCGCTGCAGGGCAGAGGCTGAGCCCACGGAGGACGCCCGGGTGGCCGACAGGAGGCTGTGTGCCCACATCAGGTGAGGAGCTGGTGGTGGGGGGGCCCCTGACCCCTGCCAGTCCCCGCAGCCCACCGACGCCCTATCAGCAGGCCCAGGGTGGGCACCTGGGCGCCAGGCTGAGCGCGCATCTGAGATGGCCCAGGCAGCCGTGGCCGGGTCATCCTGGACCGTGGTTTGGACTCGCCCTGGCTCTGGCTCCGGCTCCATGTGGCTGTCCCTGCTCCCCAGCTTTGGAGGCCACGCGCTGGGGTGGGGGACGGGACAGCGGCCATCATGGTCCCTGGGTGGGGACCACAGAACATCATGAGTCTGAGGCACGTAGTGTGTAGCGTGTAACAGGGAGCTGGGGTCCTGGCGGGGATGCCCACGGCCTTTCCTCTGGATGGCGTCCATGCTCCTTGGGGCCTCCCCTGCTCTGCTGGGCCATGGCGCTGGCCGGAGCCCCCAGACTCCCGTGCGCTGCTCTGGCTGTGAGCCAGCGGTCAGTCTCCCCTGTGCCCCCCGCAGGAGGCCGAGCGCCGACCCCCAGCCCTGCACAGCGCGGGGGCCCTACCGCGTGGACGAGAACACGGAGCGCAGGAACCACTACCTGGACCTTGCTGGGATCGAGAACTACACGTCCAGGTTCGGCCCCGGTAGGTTGCGGAGACAACCCCCCCACCCACCCCGAAGCGGGCCCTGGCAGGGGCACCTGGCGGGTGGCTGGGGGGTCCTGCAGCCTCGAGTCTGGGGGGCTGCTCCCCCCCCAGACACCCGGGTCCTCCCACACACCCAGGTGTGGACCGGGTTCAGCCTCCTGCCACCTGCAGACGCCTCCCACAGTAGGGCAGTGCCCGTCCAGGTGTGGGGGCGCAGGGGGTTACCTGGTCCAGAAGGAGGTGGAAGACCTCCCTTGGGGCGAGAAGAGGGCGTTTAGGAGGCAATCACAGCCCAGTCGCAAGACACGTGGCCGCCAGCCTGCCCTGGGGGAGGGAGCCGTGGAGAGATCAGGGAGGCGGAGCTGGCTGCTCCCGGGCTGGCAGCCACAGCCCCCACCCCCTCCCCTCATTAGGCGTCCACAGGCTGCGGGAGGGGTCGGCCGAGCAATTCAGACATTTTTTAAATGTTTTCAAGAAGCTTTTTCAGTCTCTTGAAATGCCTGGGGGCCCAAGGCGCAGGTGCTGAAGCAGCCCTCAGCAGCCGGAGCTGCATCTCCGTTCCTGGGGTCACGCTGCACATTGAGGAGACGGCAGCCCTGGACCTTTCTAGAAGTCTGTTTTAGGAGCAGAGTTAGGGGGAGCGAGTTCTGGGGCTCCTTCCCTGGAGCGTTTGCTGGCACGGCTGTCTGCCCCTGCCCCCAGGGAGGGTCCCTGCCCCGCCAGACAGCAGCTCCACCCCAGGACTCACCCCGGGGCCAGGGGGTCACCCCTCTCCTACGGGGTGACAGCCGGTGTCCTCTGGAATGGGGCTGTCCTGGAGCCGACTCCCAGCTGGAGCCTGTGCAGGGCCGGCCCTCGGGTCACCCCTCCCAACCCTCGCTCCGGGCATGTGGCGTCCGCACAGACCCCCTGCGCAGCCCTCCCCGTGTGGCCCTTGGTAACACGTGACTTCCGCAAAGCGGGGACAGAAGCCTAACCTGAGCGCCTGGGCCTCTTGCTCTGTCCCCTGCCCGCAGGGTCCCCTCCGGCTCCGGCCAGGCAGGAGCACCACGCCAAGGCCGCGCCCCTGCAGAGCAGGTCCCGCTCCCAGGAGTCGGACGCCCACGTCCTGCAGCCCCGCAGGTCCCAGGTGCTGGCCGACCATGTCACACTGGCCAACCACGCCTCGCTGGCCACGGAGCCTGCTGCCCGGGCCCTGGACACGCAGCCCCGGCTGAAGGGGCAGGAGAAGCCGCTGCTCAAGTCCCCCAAGGGCGCGGGGAGGCCTCCCGGCAGCAGCAAGCCCGGGAGAGGCTTCGGCCACCACCTGCCCGCCCAGGCCCCGCCGGACACCCACCACCCCCCGCAGGCCCCACCCCTGCCCTACGGCCACAAGCGGTACCGGCAGAAGGGCCGGGAGGGGCACTCGCCGCTCAAGGCCGCGCACGGCCAGCCGGCCGCGCTGGAGCACGAGGTGGTGCGGGACCTGCCGCCCGTGCTGGCGGGCGAGGGCCACGTGCTGCCCGTGGTCCAGCGGCACGAGCACCACCACCACCACGAGCACCACCACCACCACCACCACCACCTGCTCCCCCACCCCTGCTAGCTGCCGCCGGGGCTCGGCCTCCCCCCGGCACCCCCAGCATCTGCTCGACGGCAGGCGTGGGTGGGGAGGTGGCGCCGGAGGGACACCTGGACGTTGCTCCCTCTCCTGGGTCGCTGTGTCCACGATTACACAGCTGCTCCGTGTGACCGGCGAACACCGCACATGCAAGAAAACAGGTGACTCCAAAGCGAGGCCGCAGATCGCTGGAGGGGCTCTCTGCTCCGACTCTCCACGAGTTTCTCTCGAAGTGCTTCAGCTCTGGGTGCGTCGGCCCTCCGGGTGCAGGGCGTTGTGGGGCCAGCAGCGGGTGGAATATGTCACTCGCTCACCGTGAAGTCACAGCGTGGGCAGTGGCTCCTCCCCGGCGCGCAGGGTCTTCGGCTGGACGGGGCCACGCGGGACTCACAGCGGGAGCCGGTGGCCGAGGGAACTGCCCAGAAATGCCCGAGACGAGGCTGGGAAGGGCTGGGCCGGCGCTGGCGGGCAGCGGGGGGCAGACCGTGGTGTTGCGGGTGGCGGTGTGGTGAGTGGGAGGCGGGGCGTGGACTCAGGCAGGAGCCAGGTCCAGACATCTCACCGTGGGGGGGCCAAGCCGAGCTCCTCCAAAGTGGAGCCGATGCTGCCCCATCCCTGAGCCGAGCAGGTGGGGCGACCTGGCCACCGCGAACGTGCAGGGACTTGGCGCTGCCGCCTGGCTCTGTTTTTACGTGGATCGGATTCATGGTCACCCGGTAATGGAGATGTTTTTCCAGGCATGATAAAAACATGTGCGTTTTGCAATACATCACACCCTGTAGTGACACAATCTCTTCAAAGGGTCTAGTGCCCTACGTCAGTGTGTGGCCACGGGTGCCATGTGCAGAGTGTTCCTGGGTTCACGGAAGGAAAATCAACACACGTGCAGCACTTGCTCCCCCACGGTCATGGGCGGGGTTCTGTGGCCACATCTCTGCCCCAAGAAACCCCCAAACCAGACCCCGAACCCCAGGTTGGGTCCTTGGCTACAGGAACCTCAGCGCCACCATTGGGCTGCATGGACCAAGGTAGGCCCTGCGTGGCAGGAATCATGTGAGAGCCACGCGGCGGGTGCCGGTGTTTTCTCCTCCAGAGGTCCCCACCGCGGCCCTGCCTCAGTTCTCCCTGCCCGGGGGGCCCTGAGCTTCCTGACCGGGCCCCACACTCCCCCAGCAGGTCAGCCCCGGGCTCAGTTTCCCTCCAGCTCTCGGGGCATGGTTGACCTGCCCTCTCTCTCGGCCTCAAGGTGCCACCACAGTGGGGGATGGGAGGGTCACAGCTCAGGGACGGTGGCAGGGCATGACCCCCTCGGGGCTGGGTCCCTCCAAACTGGGGCTTCGTCCTGGGCGCGGATAGCGAGCACAGCTGGCATTTGCCCCCTGGGGCCTATGAGGGCTCCGCATGTGCAAGACACACTGAAGACATGTGACTTAACATGACACACGTCACCACCGCTGTGCACAGCCCGGTGGGTGGGTTCCAGCACATGGGCAGTCACTCAGACTTCGCCAGAGATTCCAGAACGTTCCCATCACCCCGAGGACCCTGCACCCCTGGTAGCCACCGGTCTGCCTGTACACGTGAGCGCGGTCTCACAGCATGGGCCCTTCCGTGGCGGCTTCTTCCACCACTCAGAACGTTCCCCAGGTGTGCCACACCACTGCCCGACAGTCAGCGTCCACTCTGAGCGTGGCTGTCCTGAATGCTGCTCTGCAGGCGTGTCCGGGTCTCAGGGACACGGCAGCTGCTTGCCTGGTGTGGCAGCAGCATGTAACTGGAGGACCCCATGTTGTCCGGGGCAGCCGCCACCCACCTGCCCCGCACTCAGCTTCCCTTCCCCACGTCCTCCACTCCGGCTCCGCTTTCCGGCCTGAGCTGTGCCAGTGCGCCCCAGGCCGCCCCTCCCTGGTAAAGCGATTTGCCTCTAAGTGCGGGTTTTCTCTGTGTCTCCACCTCCTGTAAGTGACAGGCTGAGCCCCTCCAGGGCGGGGACGGACGTCCCTTTGGCTGAGTGAGTCGTTTTGTGCCGCCCCTCCTGGCCTGTGGGCCGTGCGCACCCCGACCAGCACATGGGCTGGGGCCGCTGGGCCCGTTTTCCCCAGTTGCTCAATTCTTACGCCGAATGAGAGGCGAGACTCTTCCGCACGCTCAAATTCACAGGGTTTTATTCTACTGACGAGATAATACAAAGACAGGGAGCCTGTAAAAGGGAACCACGGCATCAGTGGCCACGGGTCACGTGTTTGCCGTGGCGTGGGAGGGGCCGGCGCGGACAAGGGCTGCACACGCCAACCCCGCAGTGCAAGTTGAGGGGTCGGCCACCAGCAGGAGCCTCCGGTCACGGTGGCCGTCCCCAGCTGTCCCCACCGCCAGCCAGCGCTAACGCCACGCCCTCCACGGACGTGGGCCCTCGGGGCCACACGCAGGCCCCGCCCAGACGCAGGCGGGCTTGGCTGCCACCGGGGTACGCCCCGGGAGCAGGCTCCGGTCTAGGTCCCCACCTCGGCTCTGTGCAGGGCGGGACCTCTCTGTGGATCACGAGGCCCCATGGACGCTCCCCCAGGTGTGCAAATAAATAAATACGCCGCCAGGGGCGGAGGCCAGGTCCCGCCGCGACCTGCAGCGGGGACGCCGTCCTGACCCTTGAAGCAGAAAGATGGAGGCAAAGTGCAAACAGCGCTGGGGCCTCCGGGCAGGGCGCACGCGCAGAGCAGGGACCCGGGACGCGCCATGCCGGCGCCGCGGGACCTGCCGTCCACGGCTCCCCGTCGGGGGTGTGGGGGGACGTCTGGGTTCCGCACTTTCACCTGCGCAGGTGCAGCCGCTCCAGGGCGCACGCGCAAGGCAGGGACCCGGAACGCGCCATGCTGGCGCCGCGGGACCTGCTGACCCCGGCTCCCCGTCGGGATGTGGAGGGCGCTCTGGGTCCCGCGCCGTTCACCTGCGCAGGCGCAGCTGCTCCAGAGTGCGCCCAGGGCGGGCCTGTCCATGCTTGGGAGAGACGCGGCTGGACTCCCAAGGGGCGCAGACCAGGGACGGCTCAAACAGGGACACGGCGGGGACCAGAACACGCCCAGTGACATACGACCCGCCACGTCCTGGAGAGCCCCGCGTGGAGCATGGACGGAAACTTCTGCTCGCGGCCTCTAGTCGCAGAGACGCGCGCGAGGGGCGCAGAGCAGGAGGCCGGTAGAGGAGGCTGCGCGGATCGTGGCCATGGCTGGCGTTGCCTCCATCACCCAGTGGGCGGCATCGGCGCAGGTGGCCTTCCCAGGACGCTCTGCACGGCGGGCACGGAGCGTGGCTGCCGCCCCGCTGGGGGAGGCGCGTCCAGGCGCGGAGGGCAGAGTCCACGGCAGCCCCCGTGGGGCGCGAGGGAGCCTCCCAGTCACGCCCTCTCCTGTCCTGTCCTGAGGGGCTGTGGGGGATGGGAAACCCCAGGTGATGGGTCTAGAAACTTCCGGGGGACAGGTCAGGCCGGCGTCGCTGGCTGTGCGTCCCGGCGCCCGGTGCTGCCCGGCGCTAGGAGTAGATGGTGATCACCTCGCGGCCACCGCCGCGGACCAGCAGGACCCGGTTCAGGCCCTCGGTCAGGACCTCGAGGAACTCCATGTCTGGGCGCAGTGTTAAGGCCTGGGTGTGCGGGCAGATCGCAGTGGGCGGCCGACCCCGCCCTTTTCACGAAGACGCGGTTTGAGGGCAGGCGCGAGAGGGGCCAGGCCGGGAAGACGGGCAGGGACAGGGCCGACCCCACCTGGCCTCACACCTGCAGGCGTGACCCAGGGTCTGACCGGGAGACCTGGGGGACCCCCGCTGCCCGCCCGCCCAGGGCAGGGACCCAGTGGGGACAAGACACCCACCTCCACGACACAGGGCGGGCGGACTCCAGGGCACCATGGAGCCCCTCCCCGTGGACGAGCAAAGCTCCAAAGCCCGCAGCCCGCTGAGCTTAGAGCCCAGCAGCCAGGCTTGTCACCCCGCCCGTCAGGTGCCTCCGGGCTGTTGGCGCAGGATGCGTCTGTCTGCACTGCCTCCACACCCCCAAAGTACGTGGGGGGCTGCTCACGTGGGCAATCATGGGCTCCCTGGCACCCACAGGCGGTGTGCCGTGTCCTCCCTTCAAACGCTGAGGGACCCGCCGCGCCAGCCACTCCCAAGCCACCGTGAGCGCCTGCCGGCTGCAGGGACCGGGGTCCACTCGGTCGGGCCATGGCCCCCGGGCAGTGCAGACCCCGGGCTCCCATCACCGCGCCAATGCCAGGGGTAGCCCTGCCCCTGCCCCCAGCACCCGGGCCCGCCTCACCTGCGGCACCCACGACCCTGACCAGACAACACGCGTCACACGCGTGCTCACGCCCGGCAGAAAGGATACAGTTCTCGTCGCCGTGCCGGTTTCGGGGCGGCCCCGGCATGTTGAGCAGCACCAGCTGGGCGTCCTGGGACTTGGTGAGGACGACGTCGTTGAGCTTCACGGCCGTGTGCATGCGTCGCACGTTGGACTGGTCCCTGCGGGAGGCGGGCGCAGTCAGCAGGCTTCCCCCCGCGATCCAGACACGGGGGTGCCCCGAGCCCAGAGCCACCACTGCGCTCACACGTGTGAGCAAGCCCAGAGTCACACGGGCTCACCACCCGAGAATCGCAGGTGACTCCAGGAGTGACCCGGTGACAGGCAAGGGGCAGTTTGTTCATGGTGGGAAGCACCTGGAACTGGCCATGCCAAAGCGCCAGCATCCACGGAGGGATGTGACGCGGACACTCCCAGGGCCTGCGGGGCAGCCGGAGCTCGGCTGGAGGCCACTGTCAGGGTCCCCTCCCCGCTCGGCCACCCAGATCCTGCCTCATCCTCCCCGGGGCCGAGTCCGCACCCCTTGCCTCTCCCCCTGCGCTCTGCGGCTACGCGGCCAGCCGAGTCTCAGTGTCCCTGAGACCACCCTGGAGGCCCCTGCCCCAGGGACATGGCAGACTCGGCTGACGGGCTGCAGGGCCCGGCGCCCAGGGACGGGGCCAGGCCTCCTCCTCCACCCGCCGTCCCCCATGCAGGGAGCCCGTGAACCTGGCCGGGGCGCCACCCGCCTGGCAGCCCTTGCGGCTCTGTCCGTGCGGGCGCTGCACCTGCGCTGACCTCGGTCACAGCGGGGCCGGGTCTGACCGCGGCCCCGGGGGAGGCCACCTGTGCCCGGGACAGAGAGACAGATGGGCTGGAGGATGGGGCCGCCCCACCCGGGGTCAGGGAGAGGCCCGCGGACACCGGCTCACACCCTGTGATCAGCTCAGCCCTCAGGCCAAACAAACCCGCTGTAACCACCAGTTTCCAGGAGGAGGCAGGAAACGGGCTTTCTGTTCCCTCCAATTTGGTCTGATGGAGTCACAGACGGGGCCTGCGTGGCACAGCCAGCGACAATTGCTGGCGTCCGGGACAAACGGTGACTCCACAGACACACGTGGGATTGTAGGGTCTGTCAGGGTCAGGAGACAGTTTGAAAACCACATGTAATTCTGAGTCAGAGTTTGGGCCTGGAAGGGGCTGGGCTCCAGAGCGGCGGGCGCTGGTCAGGGGCACAGCAGGGACTGAGGGGCCCGGTGCTTCCAGGAAGGGAATAAAACCCGCGCTTGCTCCCAGCAGCATGGCAGCGAGCCCGCAAAGCGAGAGACGTGTGTGATAAACACGGCTCATCACAGCACCGTGTGCACAGACATATGCACATACACAGACACACACTAACGTGCAGATACACACTCACATAAACATGTACACACGTACACTCATGCACACCGACATACAAACATGCATAGACAGACACGTGCACATGGAAACAAACAAACGTGCACACAAACACCCCTGAGCGTGTTCCTAGGGACGCCAAGCCAGGTCACAAACACCTCACACCTGGGCTGACCAGGAGAGGGTGGGGCCTGACGTCCACACCTGCTGGAGGCTCCACCTGCCCAGTGGCGATGGCTGCCAGACCAGCCAGGCCCAATGCACACCCGAGACACCGAGTCCCCAAGTCATCGGTTTGTTCTCTGATCACAGCCCTGCTGGGACCTGACCCTGACCCCCCCCCCACGCAAGGCGAGCCCGTATGCTGGAGCGTGCAAAGCCCCCTGCTGCAAATCCTCACGTGTATGTGCGTGCATGCGTGTCCGTGTAGGGGGTGGGCTTAAACCCTATTTCCATGTCTACTTGGTTTTTTGGTTTTGTTTTAATTAATTCACTTTCTCAGGCCCTTTGGGGTTCACAGAGCAATGGCAGAAGGCGCAGAAAGGCCTGTCCGCCCCCAGGGCCCTGTGTGGCCGACCCGACCGGCACGCGCCTCCCTGCTCCCAGGAGCGGCTGGACTGAGCCCGGGTCTCGGCCCCCGGGCGCCCTCGAGAGGAGGGTGTCAGGCGGTGCCTGAGCTGCTCTGAGCAGAGGGGATGGCAGATTAAACAGGACACTGGGACTGAAGCCACGGCAGCGTTCAGCACGCTCTGCCCACATGTGGACATGCACATGGGGCTGGCGGTGCACACGCCATGCACAGCGCCGCTGAACATGCACAGGCACACACGAGCCGCACACAAGCATGCAAAGCCACCCGGTCTGAGGTGCAGCCCAGACAGAGTGAGCAGACTTACAGGTGTCCCCACTCTCTATGTGGGAGAGAAAAACATGAGAGAGGTTACTTCAGGAGCGAACGCGCACAGCACACGTTTCAACACAGGCACCGGCGTGCCCTGGGCTGCCCTGTCGGCCGGCAGGAGTGGCCAGCCGTGGCCTCCGAGAAGTCCTCCCCTTCCTGAGAACTTGGAAGGGGCTCTGAGGCTCAGCTCCCCGCGGAGGCCCCAGTGCAGACGTGGCCTGTCACCCTGGAACCCGGGGCCCACACCCGCAGCCTGCAGGCTCCACTGCAGCCCACGCGGCCTCCGCCGGCCCTGGCAGGTCTCAGAGCAACGCCGGGTGGGAGGCACGGCCGGGCCGACAGCGGCATGACGGTGTCAGAGCTGAGACCGCCCGGCAGCCCCGGCTGTGGGAGGCGGAGCCGGCCTCTGTCCGCACCTGTGAGATCCACCCACTTGGACGCAGCCGGCCCTCACTGCCCTCGCAGGTCCCTGCTCTCTCACAGGCCTGCTCTGTGGGTTTGGCCCCGACGCTCTCTAGTGGGCAGGGGGAGCCCGTCCCCACGGGTGGCTCAGTTGGGCCAGGACCTGTCCCCCGGGGCCACACGTGCAGGGACACTCACGGTTTCAGGCTGAAGAGGTCTTTGAACCCGGACACACTGGCGTCTCTGTTCTTGCACCTCTCAGCGATCAGCTTCTCCCTGGTCCACGTCATTTGCACCTTGTCCGGCGTGGGCGGGGCCTGGGCCTTGGTGGCCGCGGCGGCATGAGATGCCGTGTTCCTGTCGTGGATTAGCTGGGCCTGGGGGAGAAGCAGGGGCAGCCATGCACTCAGTGTGACCAGGAGGTGCGGGTGACGCCAGGCTGGCCACGGAACCAAAGGGCCATGAGCACCTGCCCGGGCCTTGCGCCACCGTCCCTGCCCCAGGACGTCCTCACTGGGTCTGTAGGACACGCTCCCAGTGTACGCCCTGCACAGGGCAAGGCCTGGCCGGGGTAGGACCCCAAGATGGCAAACTGCTCGGCCCAGTGACCTCACAGCCAGCCTGGCCTCAGTTTCCTGTGGCCTTTTTTTTTGAGACAGAGTCTCACTTTGTTGCCCAGGCTAGAGCGAGTGCCGTGGCGTCAGCCTAGCTCACAGCAACCTCAATCTCCTGGACTCAAGCAATCCTCCTGCCTCAGCCTCCCGAGTAGCTGGGACTACAGGCATGCGCCACCATGCCCGGCTAATTTTTTCTATATATATTAGTTGGCCAATTAATTTCATTCTATTTATAGTAGAGACGGGGTCTCACTCTTGCTCAGGCTGGTTTCAAACTCCTGACCTCGAGCAATCTGCCCGCCTCAGCCTCCGAGAGTGCTAGGGTTTCCTGTGGCCTTGAACTTGGAAACCAGAGGCTGGGGGTGGCCCTAGGGCTCCCCAGGTGTGACCCGATAGGCGGGCCCTTCGAGCTCGTCCTGCGACTCCTTCCAGCTCACAGTCCCTGCCGGGTCCCCGAGGTGACGCTGCATGTCCCGTTTACCCGTGTGAATTCCTTCTCCTGGGGCCAAACCCAGGGCAACATGCCAGCTGCCAGGACGCAGCCGGGACAGAAACGGGCCCTGGGCCCTCCGGACTCTCCTGGGCCCGGCTGCCCCGGCTGTGTGGAAGATCCCTGTCCCCTCACCGGGCTCCTCCCTGGGTCCTGGGAGGGTCCGTGGCGTCTGTGCCCACACAGACTCCCGCCTGGCAGTGCCAGTGCTATGATCCACACGCCTCCCGTGTCGGCCACAACCCCAGCCACATGGCCCCACGCGCTGACCCGGCGTGGCTGTTTCTCAGGGTCAGCGAGGCCCAGGAGAGGGGCGTCTCGTGTCCCACCAGCTGCTGTCACCGTCCTCACAGAAAATCATGTCCACCTGACATGCCAACACAGACACGCATGTGCGACCCCAGACAGGTGTGACCAGAGGCTAGATGAGACTGTGACCTGGCAGAAGTGCCAGCCCTGCTGCCCAGCCACTCGTGCCTTCCCTATGCGCCAGCCCTCTTGGTCAACCCATGGCTGAGGATGGGCCTGCGTGGCAGACAGACACGTGCGCGCTGCCTCAGACCAAGCCGCGCTGAGTGCACAGCCGGCTGCGGAGACAAAGCTGCTTGCTGCTCGGCAGCCAGCTGCTTCCACCAGCGTGTGTCTCCGTGTATGTGTGTGCCTGCGTATATGTATGTCTGCATGTGTCCATACGTCTGCATTCGTGTGCCTGCATATATCCATGTCTGCATGTGTGTGCCTGCATGTGCCTGTGTGCCTGTATGTATGTCTGTGTGTGTGCCTGTGTGCCTACATGTATCCATGTCTGCATGTGTGTGCCTGCATGTGCCTGTGTCTGTGTGCCCATGTGTGCCTGCATGTGTCCATACGTCTGCATGTGTGTGCCTGCATGTGCCTGTGTCTGTGTGCCCATGTGTGCCTGCATATATCCATGTCTGCATGTGTGTGCCTGCATGTGCCTGTGTCTGTGTGCCCATGTGTGCCTGCATGTGTCCATATGTCTGCATGTGTGTGCCTGCACGTGCCCATGTGTCTGTTTGCATGTTTCTGCATGCCTGTGTGTGCCTGTATGTGCCAATGTGTGTCATCATGCATGTGTGTGCCTGTGTTTGTGTGTGCCTGTGCATGTCTGTGTGTCTGCATATTCCTATGTGCCTGTGTGTGCGCGTGTGTGGAGGGGCAGCCGGCGCCATCCTCCCCATTCCCTCCCCTCTCGTGAGTCTGGACTCGGAGCCTGTGTATGTGTGGCCATGCGTGTCTACATGCCTGTGTGTGCCTGTGTGTATGTGCCAATGTGTGTCGTCATGCATGTGTGTGCCTGTGTCTGCATGTGCCTCTGCATGCCTGTGTCTGCATGTGCCTCTGCATATCTGTGTGCACGTGTGTGCCTGTGTGTGTCTGCATATTCCTATGTGCCTCTGTATGTGTGTGGGGCAGCCGGCGCCATCCTCCCCCTCCCCCAAACGCGCCCTCCCCCTCGAGTCTGCACTCGGAGCCTGTGTGTGTGGGGTCTCCAGGTCCGGGCCCACCTCCCTCTCGCGCTCGGTCTTGGACAGCTGCATCTGCTTGAGCATCTGCGACCGCTGCTCCATCACCAGTGTCTTCTCGTAGGTGAACGCGGAGATGTCGTTCTCAACCTGGAAGGCACCAAAGCACGGAAATGCACACAACGGGCGCGAAACCACGTCACTACCAAACACCCCGTTGTCTCCGGAGCCAGCCGGCCCTGAACGGCGAGCGCCCGCGTGTCCGGGCAGTCCCGAGAGCAGGCGAGGGCCCCGCCCAGAGCAGGCAGGCTGGGGCCCGGCTCCGTCCACTGGGGGCCACGGGCCACGCAGACCCCAGGGGCCAGCCTCCGCCTCCATCCTGTCCCCTCAAAGCCCGAGGGACGCGGCGAACCACCCCCTCTCCCCCGAGTGACCCATGATCTGCCTGTCTACTCAGGCCACGTGGCCTGAGCCCACTGAGGTCGGGACCCCCGCCCGGCCCGTGGCTGGACGTGTGGGTCGTCCCCGGTGGTGGGTCGAGAGCCCCCTGGGGAGCAAGAGCACTCGGGGACTGTCCCGCCGCCGCAGGGCTGCCTGCCGCGTGGACCGGCCGGGTCCCAGGCCCGAGGGCGCCGGCATGAGGGGCGCACGGTGAGGCGAGTCGCCCAGGAGGCGCTGGGACCGCCGCCCGGCGCCGAGGCTGCCCTCCCGGCCGCTCACCATCTCCACCACCTCGACCTCGGCGCTGATGCGCAGGTGGTACAGGAACGTCTGCAGTTCCCGCTTCATCTGGATGCTGTTGTCGGCCTCCTGCGCCACCGTGAAGATGCGCATCCGGCACTTGCGCCACACCTGCGGGCGGCCGCCGCTCAGCTCAGCGACGCCTGCGCGCCGCTCCCCGGCCACGCCCCACGCCAAGGAAGGGCAGCAGCACGAGCACCCCGCCGCCCTCCCCGCCCCCACGCCCCACGCCAAGGAAGGGCAGCAGCACGAGCACCCCGCCGCCCTCCCGCCCCACGCCCCACGCCAAGGAAGGGCAGCAGCACGAGCATCCCGCCGCCCTCCCCGCCCCCACCCCTCGCCCACCTTGTGCTGCCGCAGCAGGAAGGGCAGCAGCATGAGCATCCCGCCATCGTGCACGACCCACCACACGTCAATGTTCCCGCCGCCTAAGCGCTCCTGGTTTTGCGGAAACAGGTCCACGTTTTTGGCCACCAGCAGGGCCTGCTGTGCCGCGGTGGCGTCGCGGACGGTGTCTGTGGAGAGAGGCCACCAAGACAGGGAGAGGTGGGGCCTCCAGTGAGCCGTGGACCTCGTGGACGCCGGCCAGCGTGGGGGGCGGCCGTGGCAGGGTGCCCACAGAGCCCCACCCTCCCCAGCCTCCCACGGCCCAGCCGGGGCACACGGGCTGCAGACCACGCTCCCGGGGAGTCCTGGACATGGGCAGGGCTGGGGAGGGGAGAAGCCGGGGGGCCACGCCGGCCACACCTACCCACGAAGTTCTTCCAGGAGAAAGGGTTGTCCTCCTGCTTCCAGGACCCCGGCCAGGCCATGAGCACCGTGTTGTGCTTCATGGCGCCCAGGCCGGCCGACTGGATCAGGTGGGAGGTGCCGTCCCGCAGGTTGGAGGAGACCACCAGCTGGCAGAAGCCTTTGGTCCTCTCCACGCCCATCAGGGACCGGATGTTCTGCAGGAGACCGGGCCTGGTCAGTGCTGCGGCCCAGGAGCAGGCACGGCGGGCGCCCTGACACCATGGCCTCCCGTGGGAAGTGCGTGCAGGGTGCTCGAGCCCTGGCATACGTGTGCACACGTGTGGCACAGAGAGACACACAGCAGGGTGCACCTGACACCGTGTGCAGGTGACCGGAAGGCACACGAGACCACGTGGTTCTCTGCAGTGTTCCACGTCATCACAAACCACCCCCCATACTTGGACGTTGGGGACCCCGTGCTACGTATCGGGGTCACTCTTCTGAGAAAGATGGTGGCGCTTCACAGGGTCCCAGAATGGAATACCAGACCCAGGACAGCCCCACACCAGATAGCACTGGCACACGCGGTCTCTGCCCTTCCCAGTCTTCTCACGGACGGGGCAGCAGTGCCACGTGGCTTATTTCCAGGCACAGCTGGACACGCGTGACCAGGACCAGCCCCGTTGAGGCAACGGTACATGTGGGTGCCGGTCTCCCGCCCTTGCTGCTCCGACCCTCAAGTCCTGGCTTCTGGGTCCCCCGGGCCTGACCGCGGGAGTCAGAGCTGCTGGGACTGGGACACGGCCCCCGCCACACCCATGTGGGGGCCTCAGTGGAACCACCTCCCCGCCCCACTGCCGAGCGCCCAGCTGCCCCCAGGCCAGCCCGGCACCCCCTCGCCCCTGCACCCTGCTGACCAGGGCACCGCAGCTGCACACCCACGTTCCAACCGGCCCCACCTCCTCTCAGCACCCCTGCACCCCTGCGCCCTGCCGACCAGGGCACTGCAGCCGCACACCCACGTTCCAACCGGCCCCACCTCCTCTCAGCACCCCTGCACCCCTGCGCCCTGCCGACCAGGGCACTGCAGCCTCACACCCACGTTCCAACCGGCCCCACCTCCTCCCAGCACCCCTGCGCCCCTGCGCCCTGCCGACCAGGGCACTGCAGCCTCACACCCACGTTCCAACGGGCCCCACCTCCTCCCAGCACCCCTGCACCCCTGCGCCCTGCCGACCAGGGCACCGCAGCTGCACACCCACGTTCCAACCGGCCCCACCTCCTCTCAGCACCCCTGCACCCCTGCACCCTGCCGACCAGGGCACTGCAGCCACACACCCACGTTCCAACCGGCCCCACCTCCTCTCAGCACCCCTACACCCCTGCGCCCTGCTGACCAGGGCACTGCAGCCGCACACCCACGTTCCAACTGGCCCCACCTCCCCCCAGCACCCCTGCGCCCTGCCAATCAGGGCACTGCAGCCTCACACCCATGTTCCAACCGGCCCCACCTCCTCTCAGCACCCCTACACCCCTGCGCCCTGCCGACCAGGGCACTGCAGCCTCACACCCACGTTCCAACTGGCCCCATCTCCTCCCAGCACCCCTGCGCCCTGCTGACCAGGGCATTGCAGCCTCACACCCACGCTCCAACCGGCCCCACCTCCCCCCAGCACCCCCCTTCCCTCAGGGAAAGAAAAGGACCTGCACATCCCGTCTTCCTGGAACAGGCAGGACCTCGGGGCAGACGGAGAGGCTGGGGGTCCAAGCCCACCAGTTCCGGGCTCCAGGCCATGGGGCCCAGCCCCCCACCCAAGCAGTTACGGCTGCCCGGTGCCCGGCCTGGGTCTGCACCAGGTCTGGGTGTAGACAGGGATCGCCTGCCGCTGGACACCCGGACTCATAGGCCAGACTCAGGTGCAGGCGGCCGAGGGGGAAAGCAGCCGGCTCCTTCCCAGCGAGGCTCGGGGCAGCCTGAGGTCTCCCCACAGAGGGCCCAGTGGGCAGAAATGGGGCGCGCGGGGCTCACGCTATGGCACAGAGGTCTCAGACGGCGGGCACAGAGGTCTCAGACGGCGGGCACAGAGGTCTCAGACGGCGGGCGCAGGCCCAGCACGCAGCAGGGCCCCATGCAGCCGGCTCCAGTCGGCACTGAGGGCTCCTCCCAGGTCCCCCTTTGGAAAGTCACTGCCCAAGGTGCCGCCGTTCCCCGGGCTCCCGGGCATGGTGGCGCTGCCCCGAGGCCCGGTGCACTGCTCACTGGGCTTCCTTGGAGGGTCTTCCCTCCTGCTCACCCCAAACCCACAGAAACAGACGATGGCACAGCGTGCAAGACTGCGTCTGGACACACTCAGACGACGCCAGCCAGCGAGCCCGCCCTGTGCAGCCACCCCGGCCCCGCCCGCCCACCTCCTCGGCCCGCTGCGCCTCCGAGTGCTTGTCCAGGTAAGTCCCCTCCAGCACCGAGCCCACGATGGTCAGGCCCTTGCCGGCCTTCAGCTGCGAGGCGAAGGACAGCAGCCGGGGGTGCTTGACCTGCTGCTCCTCGTCCAGGTTCAGCAGCACCAGCACCTGCGGCCTGCGGGGGGACAGGGCGGGGTTCACCACGGGTCACCAACAGGCAGGACAGACAAGGTAGGCCACTCACTAACAGGCAGGACAGGTGGGACAGGTGAGACGGATGATACACGGGACACAGGTCACACAGGTGAGATAGGTGAGACACGTCATACAGATGGGACAAGTGATATAGATCACAATGTCACAAAAGACACACGTCACACAGGTAAGAGGTAGAGCAGGTGAGACAGATACGGTAGGTCACACAGGTAAGATAGGTGGGACAGGTCACACAGGTGAGAGGTGGGACAGGTGAGACAGGAGAGACAAGTGAAGGTCACACAAGGTGGGACATATGAGACAAATCGGACGGGGAAGGTAGGTCATATAGGTGAGGTAGGTCACACAGGTAAGACAAGTGAGACAGGTAAGAGGTAGGATAGGAGAAACAGGATAGGTGACAGGTAGTACAGGTGGGACAGGTAACAAAGGCGGGACAGGCAAAACCACCACCCGGACGTGTGCCTGGGCTCCCCCCGCTCTGGGCAGGGCGGCGGGGCCTCCGCGGGTGAAGCCCTCCCGTTCCCCCACCAGGGCTGCGATGACAGTGACCGGCTGTGACGCCCTCCCCACAGCAGGACGCGCACCGTCTCCAAGGCCAGGGGGGGCCTGGGACCGGCCTCCGCGATTTACCCCGAGATCCCGCTCCAGGAGTCACCTGGAGGGAGGCGAGGAGCCCGAGACGGGAGGGCACAGGGTGCTCTCGCCACATGGGCTCCCTGGGGCCACTGCGGGCGTGGGCCGAGGCACGCTCACCTCCAGTTCTTGGTGTGGGGGGGCCCGTGTTCCACGCGCAGCAGGGCGTAGCGGGCGGCGTTCAGCGACAGGCCCCGGATGCCGTCGCCCCACTCCTTCTCCGCCCTGCCGAGGAAGGGGAGCGTCAGCCATGCGCCCAGGATGGGGCAGGGGCCTGGCCCTGCGAGGAGCCGAGGGCCAGCGGGGCGGGGCACACCCTGCGGAGGCAGCGGACCCCGCCCCGCCCCAGGGCCCACCCAGAGAGGGCCAGAGCGGCTCCCCAGGAGGCAGCGGACCCCGCCCCACCCCAGGGCCCACCCAGAGAGGGCCAGAGCGGCTCCCCAGGAGGCAGCGGACCCCGCCCCGCCCCAGGGCCCACCCAGAGAGGGCCAGAGCGGCTCCCCAGGAGGCAGCGGACCCCGCCCCACCCCAGGGCCCACCCAGAGAGGGCCAGAGCGGCTCCCCAGGCCGTCGTCAGGGCGCGGACGCTCTCCCGGGAGAGGAGCCGGCTGCTCCGGGCGGGGCCTTTGGAGGGACCACAGACACTCAGCGTGCGACAGGAGCCCTCCTGGGGGCAGAGGGCAGAGGCCGTGACCCGGGGCTGCACCCTGGCGCAGGGAGTGTGTGTATGGGAGGGAGGGCACAGAAGGACACGCGTGGCCGTGGCTCTCAGGCCAGAAAGCCCGGTCTCTGCACGTGCCGGCACATGGCCTGGCTGGTGACAGACAGAACCTGGGCGCGGGAGCGGGCAGTGCGGCGTCTTACCCGCGGTACTCGATGTACTTGTAGATGCAGCCGGCGACCAGCATGGCGAACAGCGCGTAGTACCAGGAGCAGACGAACATCAGCGCCAGGCACAGGCTCATGCCCAGGAAGGACAGAGTCCTAGGGGGCAGGGGGGTCAGGACGCCTGGCCGACACGCACAGGAGCGCCCCTCAGCGTCCTTCCAGGTGACCCCGGGCGAACGGGCACTGATGCCACGGCCCAGCCACATTCCGCGGCAGCCGTGGTCCCAGTACCACGGAATGCCCGCAAAGCTGCCCCCTCCCAGGCGTGTTCACGCCTCAGCTGTGCCTGCGGCCACCAGGCTGCAGCCGACCCCAAGCGCCAGCCACAAGGGGGGCACAGAGAAGACCCCAGACCCCAGAGCCTGCACGCCCAGCCGGGGGGAACGGGCTGGCCACAGGCGCGGACCAAGAGGCCGACGTGGATGTCTGGATACCAGGCGATGCCACGACCTTCAGAGCAGAGGCCAAAGGCCCAGGCCTGACTGGCTTCTCTGGTGCTTGATCCCAAAAAGCGTTAAGGACCCGCCCCCACCCCTGGGAGTCCCCAGGCCACAGGGTCCCCCCAGGTCACTACGGCCAGGGGCCTCACCAGTGGTAGTACTTGAAGCGTGGGCGCCAGTTGGGAGTGCGCAGCAGGGTCTGCACGGCGCAGGCCAGGTTCACGAACATGTAGCACATGAGGAAGAACCTGCGGCGGCCCCAGGGGTGGGGGCAGGTCCTTAACGCTTTTCGGGATCAAGCCCCAGGGAAGCCAGTCCAGGCCTGGGCCTTTGGGCCTCTGCCCTGAAGGTCGTGGCATCGCCGGTGTCCAGACATCCACGTCGGCCTCTTGGTTCCCGGACCTGTGGCCAGCCCGTTCCCCCGGCTGGGCGTGGCAGGCTCTGGGGCTGGGGTCTCTCTGTGCCCCCCTTGTGGCTCTGGCGCTTGGGGACGGCTGCAGCCTGGTGCGCAGGCACAGCTGAGGCGTGAACACGCTGGAGGGGCAGCTTTGCGGGCGTTCCGTGGACATGGGACCCACGGCTGCCCGCGAATGTGGCTGGCCGTGGCATCAGTGCCCGTTCGCCGGGGTCACCCTGGAAGGACGCTTGAGGGGCGCTCCTGTGCGTGTCGGCCAGGGCGTCCTGACCCCCTGCCCCCAGGACACTGTCCTCTCTGGGCATGAGCCCTGTGCCTGGCAGCTGATGTTCGTTGCTCCTGGTACTACGCGCTGTTCGCCATGCTGGCGCA